AAGAATATATTCATGTGTGTGCGTGTGTGTGTGTCTGCATGTGTGTGTTTGTGCATAATCTGGCATATCTCTTATTGTATTATTTTAAATGATCTCATACATTGCTATGTGTATGCATTTTCATGTGTTAGTATACATGTAGTAGTGTGTATGTGTTCTTGTGTGTACTGTTACACTGCATGCATTTCTTCATTTATGCATATGAAAATCTCACTGAGTCTTTTTGTGATTCTGCATATGTAAATGCCCGCATATATTAGTGGAATTACTTAAGAGTATTACCATAAATTTAAACAGAATGTAGCCATTGTCAAATGAACTCTTTTGAAAAAGAAGAGAGGAAAAGCATCAGCTCAAAATTTATCAACAAATACATTGTTTTTCAGTTTCACTTAATTTTTTTATGCCCTTGAAAATGGGATAAAGTAGATAAAGTTTTGATTTTTAATATTTTTTTTATCTCTTGCTTGCATGAAGAGTGTTTCCCCAAATGAGGAAAAGATGAAGCCACACCATTCATCTGGCTATTTTTCAGAGCTAAGTTTTGTAAGATTACTGTAAAAAGAAAAAAAAACAATAACTACTTTAAAGGATTTAATGTCTGAACTCCTTTTTTTAAAGACCTCATTGACTTGAATCCTTTACTGAAACCTAGTGTAATTAAGTTAGATTTAGAAGTATATTCTGAAAATATTTTTGGAAAGAATTTCTTTTTTTGAATACTACCATTCAAATTAATTCAAATATAAACATTCAAAGAAACAAAAAATGACAGGATGTAGCCAACAAAATTTTGTCTACCACACTGTCAACATCTATTACTTGAACACAGGGCTAGCACATACTAGCCCTGAATTCCCTGACCAGGTTTCAGTGAGAAGCCTGATTTTACAGGCAATACTTTGAGACTCTCATTATCTTATCAACATTTGCTTTTTTCTACCTACATTTATATACATGATAAATTAAACTAAGCACAACTGACTACTAAAAGATGGAATATTTTTCCAGATTTAGACATCATTCTGGGGTCTTTTCTTTCATCCAAATCTGTGAATTTGTTTTGCTCATTCTAAGTCCCCAAAAAACGCTATATAAAATTCACTATTTTTTTTATCCATAATGTTGAATGTGTTAAAATTATTCATTATTTAACAAGAAAAATCTCAAGCTGATATTAAAAATAGCCACAAGACATTGCTGATGTATTCAAGACGGAATGATCTATTATGACATGTCTCTAATTTGTATTTAGATACATTGTATTTATTTTCCATTTTTCTAGCTGAATGGTTTGCCTATATAGCATAAGACCAATTTTAGTATATAATTAAGTTACAATAAAATTTGTAGTTTATATGCATACTATCTTATGATAAGTGAGAATGTCATAGAGAAAACCGAGAAAAAACAAGATCCTTGTTCCACACCCTCAAAATACATCAGATTTAACCTCTAGGGATTTCCATTAGTTTTAAACATTACAACATTTCACAGATGTCAGAACATTTAAAAGAAATTGAAAAGAGTCTTTCTGAACTTTCTGGAAAACCTACAGATTTAGTTAAATGTGGAATCTCAAATTTGCTTTTATGGCGGGGGGGGCTGCAATTGTTGAAAATGCAGGCAATTAAATTCTTGTCACACAATATACAGAGTTATTGAAAAGAAAGAGCAGATTTTGAAAATTTAATAAGAACAAATGTTAAGAGACAGAAAAACATTCAACACATTACTCGATAGGAAAATGTTATTGAATTTTTAAAATCTGCTCTTTCTTTTTGAATAACCCTGTATAAATAAATTTAACTTACATTGTATTTTAATCAATTCACCCCAAGCAAGATGATAATGCTACTGGATAAGGGGCTACTGGAAGTGAAAGAGAAGAAAAAAACTTTAGAAGGAACCAGAAACCCAATAATGCTATAGATGCCATTGATTCCCAAGTAGGCACTTATACGGATGACACTACAATTTACTCCTGCCTCAAAAACAAATCTAGTGTCGCTGACAAAACTAACTTGGCTGTGCGTCTCGAAAAGGACCTCCAGTTGGGCAGTAATTGGCTGGTTAACTTTAACACCTCCAAAACAAAACTGCTCTCTATTAATCCTTCCCTGTCCTCCCCAATTAGAATGTCTGATGCTCAACTTCCCGAAAAGCACCTCTCTGTGGCTGCTCGGTCTCACCTTGTCTACTGACCTGAGATGGAACAAATACATTGAGACAATTGCTTCGTCCACCGCAAGGAAAGTTGACTCTCTGTGCCGCGCCAGGAAATTTTTCTCCCCGGAATTGATCCTCCAGATCTACAAATCAACAATTCGCCCTTGCATGGAGTATTCCTTCCATATATGGTCTGGAGCCCCTTCTGTTTGCCTCGGGGTTCTTGATAAGATCCAGAGATGGATATACAATATAATTGGCACTGATCTTGCATCTCATCTGCAGTTGCTCTCTCACAGATGCGCCATCGTCTCTCTGTCTTTTTTACAAATTCTTTCATGGTAATTGCTCCGATGAGCTGCTTTCGCTGGTTCCCAGACTGCGAATTCAAGCGTCCTATGAGGCTGGCATCCCACTATCACCCTTTCACTGTCAAAACTCCTAAATGTAGCCGCCTCTTCTACTCCAATAGCTTCATGTCCCGTACCTCTCGCCTGTGGAACTCCCTTCCCTGTTCCTGTTTCCCCAATAGCTATAATCTCTAACTATTCAAATGTAATGTCAATCGACATCTCCAGTTGCCTTGATCTATCCACTATCCTTCTCCTCATCCTTTCCTCTATCATTCATACCTGCTCTCGCTCCAAATCCTCCTTGCGTGCTAGTGGCTTCCCGCCTTGCTAGGGGTGAAATGCTAAAAAAAAAAAAAAAAATTGTAATATAATAAACAAGATCCTTGAATGACAGGTTGTCTACCACACAGTCAACATCTATTACTTGAACACAGGGCCAGCACATACTAGCCCTGAACTCCCTGACCAGGTGTCAGTGAGAAGTCTGATTGATTTACAGGCAATGCTTTGTGACTCTCATTATCTTATCAACATTTGTTTTTTTCTACCTACATTTATATACATTACAAATTGAACTAATCACAACTGATAATTGAAGGATCAAAAATTTTCATGGATTTTTTAATCATTCTTTTTTATTTTTCATCCAAATCCGTGAATTTGTTGTTTTGTTTTTTTCTTTACACCTGGTTAAGCATGACATAAGTCTTTCCTGCCGAGCCAGACATCTGCCTTGCTCCTTGATCTGAAACTAAATTGAACTTTGTCTCAAAAACATACAACTAGTAACCTTGAAGACACAAGCTCCACCTAGCCACTTGATGAAAATAGCACTTACAATGTTATGGTGGAATTTTTGAAAAATATTAAGATGTGGTAGGTGGGGGGGGTATATCATAGATTGGGGGTGGGCACAGTGTCCTTTCACCAGACCTGCTCAAACAAAATATGTCTAAATTTTTAGGAATTAGGAGTTATCATTATTTGCATTATTTACACATTGACTATTGTCCCCATCTTTGTCACTGTTATCACAATGTTTTCCCTGCTATACACTTCAGCTTTCTTCAAGTGTTTGTTAATCCAGGTAACCTATAAGACATTTTGAAATCAACACTCTATTTAATCTACAGGGATACATTGTTTTTCACCCACTGGCTATCTATATGGATCTCTTGTCATGTTCTTATTTTTAGCATTGCTCGATTATCTCTTGGTTTCCATTGGATACAAGTTCACATTGCCTGGCCTAGGGATTAAACTTGCAATTATTCATGTCCTCAGATTTACAGACTAACACATTAAGCCACTGGTGCAAATAATATGAATATTGAAAAAATCAGAATGAAAAAATGAACTTTGAATGCTTTATATACAATTTGATTTAGATATTTTCATCTTATTCAAAAGTTTTTAAAATAATCCTTCTTTGGTACATTGAATATGAAAGACAAGAAATATGCAGATATATAGATATGCACTGACAGAGATAGATAGATAGATAGATAGATAGATAGATAGATAGATAGATAGATAGATCATAGAAAAACAGATTGTAGAAAGACCTAGATAATAGAAAGACTAAGATAGATAGATAGATAGATAGATAGATAGATAGATAGATAGATAGATAGATAATAGAAATATTGAGATAGATAGATAGATAGAGAGAGAGAGAGATAGAGAGATAGATAGAACAACTTAGTAGAAAGACCTAGATAATAGAATCTATCTATCTATCTATTTATCTGAGATAGATAGATAGATAGATAAATGAATAGATGAATGGATGGGAACACACTGATGGGTAGATAGAATTAGATAGATAGATAGATAGATAGATAGATAGATAGATAGATAGATAGATATGAACAGACAGACAGATAGATAGATAGAAAGATCAATATGAACAGACTTAGATAAATCGATAGATATGAACAGACAGACAGACAGATAGATAGATAGATAGATAGATAGATAGATAGATAGATAGATAGATATATAGATAGATATGAACATTCTCAGGTAGCAATATATTGCAGCAAAAATAGAATAAAAATTACTTTACAGAAGCCAATATCTGTTAATCTTGTTGAGAAGCAATCAGTAATATTTTTCGTATCAGTTGATGAGATTGAGTAGAGTAAAAATGTTCACATAAGTATGTCATTCAGTGTAAAGGTTATGTATAGAGATTAATTCTCTCAGCAGAACTGCAGTTTCAATTAGTCCATCTTTTCTGAAAGGGTTTGTATCTTCCTATTCATCTATCTCACAGACAAGTGTCATCTTTTGAAATCATGCAAATAAAAAAGGAATTTCTTGCAATAGGTTCAGAGAATTTGCTGAAATTATTTAAAAGATTCAACATTTTTAAAATGGTTTTACTCTTTTGGAATCTGTATTTTTAAATCTTGTTTTTTTTTTTTGCTGGATTTGTTGCAACAAAAGAGAAGATGAGAGAGAACAATCTAACAGTTTAAAACTGAGAATGGAAAAAGGGTAAATTGAAAAGTGTATTTTATAAGTGAAAAAAGAAATGGAGTCTGTTAAAGGGAGACAATAATGAAGTAAGAAATGGAGAGACTTTAATAAAAAGAAAAGGAAAGAAAGAAAGAATATGAGAGAGAAGAAAAGAATGATGCAGAAAGATAATTGATGGAAAGATAAAGAAAGAAAAACAAGACGAAACAAATAGAAAAAGAAAATCAGAGTAAAATAGAAAAGAATAAAAGGTAAATGAAAAATATTGGAAATTACTGAATTAAGGAAGGAAAAAGAAAGAAAGAAAGAATATGAGACAAGAATGCAAGAAAGAAGGAAGGAAGGAAAAAGAAAGAAAGAAAGAATATGAGACAAGAATGCAAGAAAGAAGGAAGGAAGGAAAAAAGGAAAGAAAGAAAGAATATGAGACAAGAATGCAAGAAAAGAAGGAAGGAAGGAAAGAAAAGAAAATGAAATGCAAAAAGAAGGAAGGAAGGAAAAAGAAAAAAGAAAGAATGCAACAAGAATGTAAGAAAGAAAAGAAAGAAAAAAGGAAAGAAGAGAAAAAAAAGAAAACAATAGGAAGGAAAAAAAAGAATAAAATAAAGAAAGAAAGAATATGAGACAAGAATGCAAGAAAGAAGGAAGGAAGGAAAAAGAAAGAATAGGAAAGAAAGAATGAATATGAGACAAGAATGCAAGAAAGAAGGAAAGAAGGAAAAGGAAAGAGACAAAAATGCAAGAAAGAAGGATGGAAGGAATGGGAAATAGGCAAAAATGCAAGAAAGAAAGAAGGAATATGAGAAAAAATCCAAGAAAGAAAGAAGGAAAAGGAAAGAAGGAAAGAATATGAGATGGAAGAAAAAAAAAAGACTAACAGAGAAAGATAATTGATGGAAAAATAAAGAAAGTATATACAAATGAAAGGAAAAATAAAAATTATGAAATAAGAAAAAATGAGAATAAATGAAAAAAAAATAGAAATGAATGAATAACTGAAAGGAATAAATGTTAGATTACAAAGAAAGAAAGAAAGGAAGAAAATGGGAATAAATGAGTGAATGCATGAAGGAAAAATAAAGAAAGATTACAACATAAGATAGGAAGGAATGAAAGAAAGAATGAATGATTGAAGAGGTGAAAAAAGAAAGAAAGATTACAACATAAGATAGGAAAGAATGAATGAATGAAGGAGGGGAAATAAAGGAAGAATGATCACATCATAAAATATGAAGGAAAGAAAGAATGAATGAAAGTCGGGGAATAAAAGATTAAAAATTACAACATAAGAAAGAAAGAAAGAAAGAAAGAAAGAAAGAAAGAAAGAAAGAAAGAAAGAAAATAAAAAAGGTTACAACATATGAGGGAAACAAAGAATTAATGAAGGAGGGAAAATAATGGAAGAAAGATTAAAGCATTAGATATGAAGGAATGAAAGAAAGAATGAATGATTGAAGGGATGAAAATAAAGGGAGAAAGATTAAACATAAGATATGAAGGAAAGAAAGAAAAAAGGAAATAAAGAAAGAAGGAAGGGTGAATAAAAGAAGAAAGATTACAACATAAGTTAAAAAAGAAAAAGAGGAAAGAAAATAAAGGCAGAAAGGTTACAGCATTAGGTATGAAAGAAAGAAAGAAAGAAAGAAAGAAAGAAAGAAAGAAAGAAAGAAAGAAAGAAAGAAAGAAAGAGGGAGGGAAAATGATGGAAAAAAAATGAAAATATAAGATATGAAAAAAATGAAAGAAAGAATAGAGGCCTGAAATTAAATAAAGATTACAAAATAAGATAAGAAAGAGAGAGAATGAATGAAACATGGAAAATAAAGGAAGAAAGATTACAAGATAAGATAAAATAAGAAAGAAAGAAAGAAAGAAAGAAACAAACAAACAAACAAACAAACAAACAAACAAACAAACAAACAAACAAAATATGAATGAAGGAAAATAAAGACAGATTACAGCATAAAAAATTGAAAGAAAGAAAGAAGTGAAAGAAAGAAAAAAAGAAAGAAAGAAAGAATGAATGAAGGCAGGAAAATAAAAACAGATTACTGCCTAAGAAAAGATCAGATAAAATAAGAAAGAAACAAAAAACACAAAAGGAAAATTTATAAGAAAGAAAGAAAGAAAGAAAGAAAGAAAGAAAGAAAGAAAGAGAATATAAATAAATGAGGGAATGAATGGATGCATGAAATTAAATGAAAGAAAGAAATTTTGTAATTTGGAGATGGACAGAATGTACTGATAATAAAAAAGTTAATAAAAAGAAAAAAAATTAAATAGAAAGAAAGAGCAAACCTGGAAGAAAAAGAAAAAAGAAGAATGAATGAGAGAAAAAAATAAAATAGAAAAATGGAATAAGGTTTAGAGAAAGTAATAAATGAAAGAAAGAAAGAACACAGCCAAAAGTTACCAAAAAAAGAGAAGAAAACCAAAAAAAAAACAAAAATAATAGAAGCTGAGAGACCAAGGAAAAAAATGTCTCCAAATACATTCACAAATTTCCTCTCAGCAAATTTCCCTTGCATCTCCATCACACTTAGAACTTTATTAAAGTGTAAAACTTGTGAATAATGAAGTGAAAGCAATTGAGGAAAAGCCAGTTTTCTATGCCTGGACCCTCATTTGATTAAACTGCTTTGTTCTGAACCAATGTCTCTTTAGCCATATTGATAAATTGATATCTTTCCACGCTTGTGTAGAAATTCTATAGCCAGAAGGCTTAGGCAAGTAGAAAGAATCTTAGAGAAGAAGAAGGAGGAGGGGGTGGAGAATGAGGAGAAAAGAAAAAAGAAGAAGAAAAGGAGAATGTAAAGAAGAAGGAAAAGGATAAGATGAAGGAAAAGAAAACGAAAAGATGAACACAAAGAAATGGAGAAAGACAAGAAGAAAAATAGAACATGCGGAAAAGAAGAAGAAAAAAGCAAAAGAAGGAAAAAGGAAGAAGATAGGAAACTAACTGCTAAAAAAGGACAATATTCCATTGGCCTTAAGTACTAAACTGAAGAGAATGATTGTTGATTGTTTTACAAGGATAAAATTTAGGGCATGTTAAAGTCAAGGAAGTGAGGTCAAGGAAGAGAGGTCAAGGCAAAATGTATGTACATGCATTACAATTCTTATTGTGATATATATACATATATATATATATATATATATATATATATATATATATATATGCAGTAGAATCCCTGACAACCAGACTAAGAAGGCCTTCTAGATATGAGGAATTGGTTACAAAGTCCAGATATGAGGGGTTATATTTAGATTAAAATAAAAGAACTGAAATCAGGTTTAACATTTATTTTCCATGTTTTATAATAAACAAAATAAGCTAATGGTGAGTGAAATATAACGGAATTGATTTTAAGGAAAAAGAAATAAATTGTGTAATGTTAATGAAAATTCATTGAATTAATTATGCCACATATGCAAAACAAATAAAGTAACGAGGATTTTTTAATCACTGCGGCATGATGATTATTTCCCTTCTAATGTCATTCTCGACCTTTTCCACAGTTTGTGTTATGCTTGTTCTTGGAATTTTTTAAACGAAAGACACTTTTTAACTCTGTGTGCTTTATTGCACTCATCATAGCTAAATGCTGGCTTTCTTTCCATAAAACTGACAACCTTTTCAATAGCTTTTTCAATTTCAGTCCAGGGTTCATCACAATAATGCATCTCATCACTATCTTGTTGAAGATGTGTCTTGTCATCCTATCCTCTTATGCTCATTATCTTTTGCACTAATGCAAGCTATTGGGTGGGGAAATATGCATAAGCAATTATCCAAAGTAAATTTCCTGAAAACAGAATTTTCAAATCAGTTACATATCACACAAATAGTTCAAATATACACATCAAAATTATGTCCGAATATGCGGGATTCCAGATATGGGGCTCTCTGGATATGAGGGATTCTACTGTATATATATATATATATATATATATATATATTTAGGCAGCCTATCTTCATTCAAACATGTTTCATTGAATAATATAGACATATTGTGTCTATATTTTTACTGATAGCTTCTAGTTGAGTTTCAATGTTTAGACAACTGGAAAGGTATTTAAGTAAATGCTCTGTTTATAATAAACAGTATTAAATAACATTTACCGCCTGAATGTCCAAGAAATTTTCATGTCAAAGGACAGATATTTTCTATGAAAATTTCTTGGACATTCAGGCCGTTAAATGTTATTTAATACTATTTATTATAAACAAACATTATAAATACTTGTACCTATAAAAAAAAAAATGTTAAACATAAAAATGTCTTTAATATATATATATATATATATATATATATATATATATATATATCTTTCATTGAAAACATCCAACAAGGAAGATTTAACTGGCCGTGCATAGCAAGTGATTGGCAAAAAGTACACAAACTGCTTGAACACCACACTTTAAAATTACTATGGAGCAGCCACACTCAGAATTTCACCATCCAAAACACATCCTTGATAATGGCGAGTGAAGTAACTGTAAGCACTTGGAACAATTATAACTATGGACAATTCCTAACACCTGAAAAATGGAAAAATGTTAGATTGTGGGAAAAACTCAATAAAAGATTAATTAAATCTTATTTATCGGCCTTTTTCAATGAAAGATGCATAAAAGAAAGGTTGCTACCCAAATACACATCCATATATATATATATATATATATATATATATATATAATATATATATATAGTTGGATTGATGTTTATTACCTGGGGTTTCATGCCCTTTGCGATCATCAGGCAAACTCAGAAAGAGAGTTTGATGATAGCAAAGGTCATGAAACACAGGGTCTCAAACTCACATCAATCCACCTAAATATGTTAGATCTATCACTGATATTGAGCACTTTCCAATAAGTACGGCATATATATAATACATAAATAATATATATAAAATTGCATATATATATATATATATATATATATATATATATACATTACACATATATATATTTCCCCCAAGTACTTTCAAATGCTGCTCCATTCATTTTCAAGTAATGTTCTGTGTGTAGTTATGCAACTTGTTTTTAATTCTGACGTACTCACATTTAATGGAATCAATTTCAAGTAACTAATTGTCACATTATATAAATGGCCAAAATGAAATTTTTATGTCTGCGTGTTTTTATATGGATGGACATATGACAAATAAAAAAAATAATATTAGCATTAGACAAATTTTAGTAGATAGTATCAAAATTTTATACAGGACAGATGTGGAACTCTCTTCCCTGTCAACTTTTGTCTTCAAAAATTTAATTCCAATGTCAGTCATTATCTATTGCCTTCTTTTAATTTTCTCTCCCCTTAATAGTGTTTTTTCTCATATTCTCTAAAACTCAGTAATCCCTTGTCTTAGTGACTTTATTGCCTTGCTTCAGGTGAAATGATTAAAGTTTGACTCCTGGATGCGAACTGAAGGACTGACCACTTTTGTCACTCTATAAAGTGACATCACTAAGCAGCCATTAGATGATCCATGTGACTTTATGTTGACCAAAAAAAGATTGTATCACTTATGAACAAATAAACTTGGGAAAGGTATGAATCCATCTTTTCCCCCAGTAAGGGGTTAAATCATAGGATTTGAGTCTGGAAAAAATTATTGTGATTCTCCAAAAGTTTTTATTGCAATATTCACTCGCACAAAACCAAAAAAGAATTATTCATATAATCGAAAATATATTTTGGCTTTAAAGAAGACACAAAGGGTTGATAAGCCATAAAAAAAAAAACAAATTAAAAAATCCTTGTTATAAATTTAAATTTGTTGCTATACAAACTTTAGATTGCAACTGTTTGGGACTGAGTGATTTTGATAACAATAACAGTTTATAAAAGATAATAATAAATAACTTCTATCATAGTAAGTTTCAGAATCGCAATTTCTTTTTACTTTCACAAGAATCAAAAGGTTTTTCTGACCTCTGGTAATAATCTGAAAATAATATACCAAGTTCTGTCAGTTTCTTTCTTTATTCTGATTCAACTCTAAAATTAAGAAGACAGGTCGTCTATTCTGGGTATAATCTTGTCACTTGGAATGCAGTGAGATATTTAGAGAGATTTAGTAATGTTCATTTTTGCCTGTCAAAAATAAGAGAGTAAGAATTCACCTAAACTGAACTGTTTTTTTTTGCCATGACTTCTTAAGAAAGATAGCAGTTTTCAGTTGCATTTTCTTTAAAATGCAATGTCTTTTCAAGATATAGGTGATCATGGCTCTCCACAGATTCTATTTTCTATATCCCTGAACTGCCATGATTTCTTAAGAAAGATAGTGGATTGGTTTTTAATTGCATTTCCTTTTAAATGCCATATCCCTTCAGGGCATAGGTTATCATGACTCTCCACAGATTACTTTTTTCTTTATCTCTGAACTGCCATGACTTTCTCAAGATAGTGAAAAGGTATTCAGTTGCATTTCCTTTAAAATGCTGTGTCCTTTCAGAACGTAGGTGATCATGGCTCTCCACAGATTCCTTTTCTTTACCTGTGAACTGCCATGACTTCTTGAGAAAGATAGTGGTTTTCAATTGCATTTCCTTTAAAGTACCATGTCCCTTCAAGATATAGGTGATCATGGCTCTCCACAGACTTTCTTTATCTCTGAACTGCCATGAATTCTTGGGAAAGGTACTGGAGCAGTTTTCAATTGCATTTCCTTTAAAATGCCATATAAGTACAAATATTTTAATGTTTTCTGTCTAAACATTATTTTTATGCATACAACTTATTTGGGTAAATGTTCTGTTTTAATTAAACAGTATTAATTACATTTAACAGCCTGAATGTTCAAGGAATTTCATAGAAATTATGTCTTCTCCAAAAAGAATTGAACCTGTATCCTATATGGAAACCATCATATAGCCTGATGTGCTGTTTAACCATTCAGCCACAAGAGACTTTCTGGTTATCAAAGTCCAAATTACTGCTTATAAACACACATCTTCAACAATCTTTCTCGATAATTAATTTCTGCTCTGAAACATAACCTATTACAAACAAAGACAATATATTAGAAGAAATGGATTAAATCCAACAAATATTTTAATATATTTTTGTTTCTACGTTATTTTTATGGATACACCTTATTTGAGTAAATGCTCTGTTTTATGGGATACAGGTTCAATTCCTGTTGGGGAACACATATTTTCTACGAAAAATTTCTTGAACATACAGGCTGGTAACTGCAATTAATACTGTTTAATTAAAACAGAGCATTTACTCAAATAAGTGGCATCCATAAAAATGACATATAAACTGAATATATATATATATATATATATATATATATATATAAAATCATCCACAGACAGATTGTTTCCTGTTTCACAACTCATCAGTGTGGCTAGATATCCAGTTGCCTCAGCTAGGGTGAAACCGAAATGAACTGGTGTCAGTCACACAGATTCTAACCATTAAGCCATCAGCGCACGGTAGGGAGGAAAGTGGATTTTTTAGCATGTTT